TGCCCTATTCCCTTCTCAACTACGTCTGTCTTATTTTGTAACAGTAGTGTTATTTAGTATTTATCTTTTTGTGACTGAGATATTTCACGTAGCATAATGTCCTCAAAGCTTCCCCATGTTGTGTAATGTTTTACTATTTCATTGTTTTTCAGTGCTGTGTAGTATTCCATTGTGTTAATATACCATAGTTTTTCTACCCATTCATTCATTGATGGGCACTTGGGTTGCAATGCAGCAATAAACATGGGTGTGCATACATCTGTTTGAGTGGTGACTCTGGTTTCTTTAGGGTATATCCCCAATAGTGGAATTGCTGGGTCAAACGGTATTTCTAATTTAATTTTTTTGAGAAAGTGCCAGACCTTGTTCTATAGTGGTTGTACCATTTTACATTTCCACTAGGAGTGAATAAGAGTTTCAATCTCTCCAGAACTTCACCAGCATTTGATGTTTGCTGCCCTGTTGAACTTGGTTATTGTTGCTGGGAACAACAGCCTTTTTAGAATTTAACTTTCTAATGCTTGCTTTTCAGTTGCAATAGTAGAAAGCATTACTAAAGTTTCTCTTTCCATGATGCCGAAACCAGTCACCCACATTGACTGTTTACTAATTCTTCTTTGATATTGTTGTTGTTTTGTAATGTTTGGGATTTATCCTTTTAAGAAAAGTGGCCTAGTAAAGTGTTTAAACAGAGTTGAACTAAGCAAACGGGAAGAATGATGAAGACAAGATGGAGATAATTTCAAGATGGAGTCAACAATACCACATCCTGAAAGAAAACTGAGGATGAAGGGCTACAAGGTGACTGTTGGCAGTCATGTAGATTTTGGTAACTGTGCAAGAACAGACCCAGGAGATTAGTAGGCAGACTCAGAATGATGGGGAATGGAAGTAAGTAATAGGTGATAACGTGGAGGTGTTTATGGATTATAAAGCTTACTCTTCTAAAAAGGGACCTCTGATAGTCTGGTGGTAAGAAGCTGTGCTGTAATCCCAAAGGTATGTGGTCTGAACCCACCAGCTGCTTCTTAGTAAAAGAATGGTAACTCTCTTGTGACTTACTGCCTCTGAAAACCCACTAGAGAGTCAGCTACAATTTGGTTCTGACTTGATGGTACACAACAGCCTTTAAGAAGAGGATTAAGAGTATTAAAGTGAACATATTTATGTGTTTAAGAGAGGAACAAGGTAGGAGGCATCTCACTGCCTCATTTCAAATCCTACTACACTGCCATGGTGGTCAAGACAGCGTAGTACTGCTACAATAACAGACATATAGATTAATGGAATAGAATTTGAGAATCCAGAAATCAGACCATTTATCTATGGTCAACTGATTTTTGACAAGAAGATGAAATCAATTAAGTTGGAAAACGACAGCCATTTTAACAAATGATGCTGGCAAAATTGGAAAACTACCTGTAGACTATTCAAGCAAGAGCCACACTTCACTCCATACACAAAAAACAACTCAAAGTGGATCATGGATCTAGGACTAAAACCAAGGACTGTAAACTTCATTAAAGAAAAGCTTGGAAGAACCCTAAGTCCTAGTCAACGACATAAACAGTCTTCCAAGCATCCTGGAAAATCTACAACCAGGAGAGGATGAAATAGATGAATGGGACCTTCTAAGAATCAATTTCCTTTGCACATCCAAAAACTCCAACAGTGTAAAAAGGGAAACCACAGATTGGGGAAAAATATTTGGTAATGACAAGTCAGATAAGGGACTTATTATAGAATTTATAAAACACTCGAGTACCACAACAAGGTAAAGAGAAATAATCCAATTGAAAAATGGGCACAGGATATGAACAGACACTTCAGCAAAGAAGACTTCAGATGGCCAACAAGCACATGAAGAAATGACCAAAATCCCTAGCTCTAAGAGAGATGAAAATCAAAACAACTATGAGATATCATCTCATTCCAGCAAAAATAGCAAAATTTAACAGAACGCCAAACACCAAATGCTGGTGATGTTGTGGAGAAACTGGAACCCTTATTCACTATTGGTGGGAGTGTAAAATGGTGCAACCACTATGGAAGCCTGTATGGCGTTTTCTCAAAAAGTTGCAAATTGAAATACCATTTGACCCAGCAATTCCACTACTGTGAATTTACCCTAAAGAAACCATAAATGCCAGCCAAGCAGATAAACCCATGTTTATCATGGCTTTGTTCACAATAGCAAAGAGCTGGTAACAACCCAAGTGCCATCAACAAATGAATGGATAGAGAAGCTGTGGTATATTCACACAATGGAATACTGTGCAGCATTGAAAAACAAGGAATTAATGCAATATTATGCAAAATGGATGACCCTGGAGGACAAATATTGCATAGGGCCACTGTCATAAAACAGGAAACAGAAAAGGAGGAGAGGAATGAGGTATATTGCACTGAAACAGATGACAGAGAGATTTGTTTAAAAGGGACATATGAATGGATATTCTTGCCATTACAGAAGTCCAGAGTGAAGGCTGCATAGTGGAGTGAACTTGGGGGGAACGGATTGCATGACAATGAAAGATTTTTTCCTTTTTCTTTTCAAGGAGAAGAGTTATTTGTGAGGGAGGGGGTGGCAGGGAGAAAAGTGCAACAATGAATGGCTGGAAACCCTTAGCCTTTTTAAACTTTAATTAAAATGAATTAAAAAAAGAATAAGAAAAAGTTGCAAATAGAAATACCACTTGACCCAACAATTCCACTACTGGGAATATACCCCAAAGAAACCATAACCGCCACCCAAGCAGATAAATGTACACCCATGGTTATTGCAGCTTTGTTCACAATAGCAAAGAGTTGGAAACACCCAAATACCCATCAACAAAAGAATGGATAGAGAAGCTCTGGTATGTTTACACAATGTCCTTGCTTTCACTAAAGAAAGAATTTAACTAGGATGCTCAGGTTGAAAGGAATAGGAAAGTTTAGGTCATGTTTACTGGGGTGATGGTGTCCAGTGGGTCTGCTACAGAGTTACGAGGCAATCCACACATCAAAAAAGGTCATGAGGCTGGGGTGCTTCAGATTTTATTCAGGATGAAATACAGAAGTAGTTAGGTGGCCAATCATGTATGGGGGCACAATTTATTTTCTTATTTAGAACTTACATAGTATATACCATGTTATGGTGTGCAAGTAGTTTCTTTTTCTAGAAAATTTATTTATCAATTTTAATGAAAGTTTACAGAGACTTAGGATTCCCAGTCATTCATTGTTGCACTTGTGCAAGTAGTTTCTTATGATGGAGTTAGTGCAGAGGATTCTGGGATGCATGCCAGCACTTATTATGGGATGGTACACACACAGATGGCACACGCTGTCTTTGAGTTAGATTGCTGTCTGATTAATTGCTTCTAGCTTGGGAAGGCCATTTCTAAGTAACAGGTTGTATTTGAGCATATGCTTTACAAGCTGATTTGAACTGTTTTCATTTAAAAGAAGGTTTTCAGAACGTTTATCTGTGAAGATCTATATCACAAAGACAATCACTTGATATTAATGGATGTTGTTATTATGTGCTGTTGTTGGCTCTAAACTTTGCCTTATCCTGAGCCAAGCTCACCATCTTCAAAAACCTGACCCCATTTTCATAGTCACCATGTTACTCCATCTCATCCAGGACCTTCCACTCTTCCAGGTAAGATGTTCTTCTCCAAAGATTGGCCTCTCCTCACAACATGCCCAAAGTATGTGAGGTAAAATTTCAAAAGTTTAAGATAATAACAGGGTATTGGGAGGGGTTGAAGTGAAATTCTTAGAGTTAGTATCATTGTTACATACTGTCAAGGTAGAGGTACCTCATAGGTGACCTTCCAGCAGGTTTTCAGAGGCAGAAAATCACCTGGAAGGAGGTTGCTCATCTTTCTTCTATGGTTCACCTGGTAGATTTGAACTTCCTCCTTTTGAGTTGACAGATATGGCTCCTGACCATTAAGCCACCAGAAGTACCTAGAGTGTGTTAGGAGTTAGATAACCATTACATAATTTGGGGCAAAAGCACAAGGAAGGAGAGTAGAAGTGGAAATAATAAAGTGCCTTAAAGTTTAAGCTGGATCTTGTCAAGATATTAGAGCCCTTTGTGAGCTTATATAAGATAAAAAGTGAAAAAAGAGGACAAAAGTTAGTCCAATCAGAATCAGGAGATGTCCATGTTACCTTATAAGGAAGATGTCAATTCCTTAGAAAGCTGTCATATTCAGTAAAGATCATCCCAAGAGCAACTCAATTAGCATTTTAAACAAGTGGGACTTCATGGTATCACAGACTGTAGGCCAGATGGAAAACTCCAGCAATATTGTTCCACTGGTCCAAACTCTACTCACCTGCTTTGCATAGGGTATGCTCACAGAGGAGGAAGAGGATTGGCCACATAAGTCTAGAACCCCAATAGCCTAGTGTCCTCTATATTCCATTCCCTTCCTTCCTTCAAAAAGTAACTTCCTGTATCTGTAACATAGTGTGTTTATTTTCACTTCCACTGATAAATTACCTCTGATTTCATCTCCACTCTTGTCTCCTTTTTCCGGAAGTTGGACATCCTTAGCCTTAGTGGCCCTTAAAGTCTCAGGGACTGTAAAACTGAGCACTAGCTCTTTTAAGAGACACTGAAATTGCTGTACACTTCCTGGTGCCTCTTTAATAGGGTCAAGGTACTTATTGTCTTTCATCCAGCTCAATCTTTGCCCGGACAAGGGAGGCTAAAGCCAGGGTACTCATGACACAGTGGCATTTTGTAGTTAAAACCTTTTTGTACAAACTGTGTGTTTGATCTATGTTGATTTTGATAACAGGTTTGGTGTATAGTTTTTGTAAAAATGGTTATGGCCATTGTAACCCAAGGGCATCTATCCTACCCCTTTTAACCCTGCCACCACTATGAGGTGGCCTTTCCATAGAACCTCCAGAGTGCAAGTGGCTTACTGCCAAGGTCTCTGGTCTGCACCTGGGAGAAGGTGGCCACATTGGATTCTACAGCTTCCCTTCCATAGGTGTGGGCTCTGAGCCTGAAGTTTACATTGAAAAACCAGAGGAAGATGGTGTTCGTGTGGTGTGCACGGCCTCTGGATGGTTTCCGAAGCCCCAGGTTCAGTGGAGAGACCTCAGTGGAGAGAAGTTCCTAGCTTTCTCAGAGGCCCATGCCCAGGACTCAGAGGGGCTGTTTCACGTGGAGACCTCGCTGGTGGTGAGAAACAGATCTGCAGGGAATGTGACCTGCTCCATCCTCAACCCCATTCTGGGCCAGGAGAAGGTGAAGGCCATTTTCATCCCAGGTAAGAGTTGTTCTGGTTTTTAGTAATGCCAGCCTGAGGGTTGAAGTGTAAATATGCTGGCCTGGGATAGGTTCTGATAGAATCTCTGGGCCACAGAGCCCTTTTTTCCACAGGCCTCTCCCTGGAAGCCAGCTTTTATTGTAATCATCATCATAATGGGGCTCCTCATCTTCTTGGCTGCCTATTTTGCTAAGAAAGAGCATTCAGCAAATTTGCAGAAAAAGAAAGAAACGGAGAGCCTTCAGCGGGCTAAGGAGAAGCACAGACATATAAAGGAGGCTGCACTGAAAGACAGAGGTAAGGCAGGAGAAGGGGCATGCTAGATGAGGACAGAGATTGTGCCAAGATGGAAAAGCTGATAGCGGGACAAGATCTGGCTGCAGTGGCCTCTGGAAGACCCAGGACCTCTGCCCAGAGCAGAAGGCTCTTGGAGATAAGGAGAAGATAGTTAGGACTGAGAGTGATTGGAGAAGTCTAGATGGAGAACTTTCTTTAATGTATGAAGGGAGTCTGTGTCCTTTTCGAGGCACACAACCTTTCCTTTTCTTAGGGAAGAAAGCTTAAGCATTTTTTTCTTTCTTTTTAAAAAATCTCTTACAGATGCACTACAGGCAGAGCTTGGTAAGTTTTTATCTCCCTTCTGATCGCTCAGGGTCCTGCTGCGGAAGCTGATCTGGTTTGTATCTCATTTCATTCCCATGTGTTGCTTTTTCAGACCAGAGGAAGAAGATTTACCAGGCTGGTGAGTAACTCTCCAGATGTCCCTCGGTCTCCCATCCTACATCTGCTTGGGGGACCTGTTCCTCTGAGTCTTTCTCAATAGACGTTAGGACTCCATTCTCTGAGGGGAAAAACGGAAAGTGGTAGGAGGGGGACACTGCTCTGGGAATATTTTCCAGATATAGGGCTCAGCTCCCTGCCTAGTGTTCAAATATGGTCACCTCTGGAATCTATCAAGCATCCTGAATCTTGTCATCCCAGCTCTGGTCTGTTCACCATATATATTTTCTAGTCTTTAGTGTACTCAACTTTCTGTAGTTGGAAGTTAAAAGATAGATGCTTAGGAATTTTCTTTAAGAGACCACATGAATCAATGTGGTCATCAAGTCTAGATGTATGACTTATTTCTTCCAAGAATCCTCCTCTCTGGGAGTGTCATTCCTCTCCAGTTCCTGAAGGTGCTGAATGACAAGGGGTGGGGAGAGAACTGGGATGAGTAAGCAGAGGAATGTGATAACATGAGCTCAGATCTCCCCTTGGTTAGAGATGTTACCAACTCTGGAAAGATTTCTTCCCCCAAAGTGTTTAGCTTTATCTATTTTTATTCCATATTTTTGGTAATATTCCAGTTACATATTTGCAATAAAGAGACAAGATATAACAACAATTTCTTCCAATTTTGGAATATTTTTGTATTTTCATTTTTTAAAAAATCTTCACAAATATATTTTTATTCTTAATGAAATGCAAGAGGATAGGAGTTTTTGACATTCTTGAAGGCACAGAATAGGTAAGTGACTTGTCCAAAGTCATATCACAGCAGCTGGACAGTTTAATGGGTAATCATGGGAATTTCTCATCTTCCCTGGTGAGCTTTGCATACAGTGAGAGTCCATCTGTTTTCTGGCATCTATTTCCCTCTGCATGGACATACCTTTAGGATAGAGGGGAGGGTGGTGACCAATTCATTCCACATTGATTCTGGCTGCATTCTCATCAAGGATATATGTTCCCTTTCAGCCTGGAGAAAGGCCCATCTATATGCAGGTAAGTGACCCTCATATTTATGCGATCTTATATTCCTTGGTCCCAGGGACATCTACCTTCAGCCAACCTCTCCACCAATGGACCCCACACCATAATAGGACTGACATCCTTGCTCTCCTGGTCATTTTAGAGTCTCTATGCTAGTATATTACTCCAGAGATAAAAAGGTGAGGAAAAATGGGGTTGCTTTCATAGTTAAAAAGGTCATTTCTAGGTCTATCTTGAAATGCAATATTGTGAGTGATAGGATAATATCCGTACGCATACAAGGAAATTGAGTAAATACCACTATTGTTCAGATTTATGCACTAACAACCAGAGTGAAAAAAGAGGAAATAGAAGATTTCTACCAACTTTTGCAGTCGGAGATCGATCGAACATGTAATCAAGATGCATTAATAACAATGGAATGCAAAAGTTGGGAACAGAGAAGAAGATTCAGTAGTTGGAAAACATGGACTTGGTGACAGAAATGAAGCTGGAGATAGAATGATTGAATTTTGTACATTCAATAACTTATTCATTGCAAGTACGTTTTATAAGAAACATAAATGCAGGTTATACACATGGATTTCACCTGATGGCGTGTGTAGGAATCAGATTGATTACATCTGTGGAAAGAAAAGCTGGAGAACTCAATATCAGCTGTGAAATTTAGGCCAGGAGCTGATTGTGGAACAGACCACCAACTATTCATATGCAAGTTCAAGCTGAAGCTAAGGAAAATGAAACTAAATCCATGGGAACCAAAATATGACCTTGAGTTCCTTCCACCTGAATTTCAGAACCATCTCAAGAAACAGGTCTGAGGCCTTGAACACTAATGAGCGAAGACCAGATGAGTCGTGGGAGGATATCAAGAGTATCACCCAGGAAGAGTGCAAACATTCATTACAAAGACAGAGGAGGGAAAACAAACAAACAAAATAAAAATATAAAAATAAAGACAGATGAGAAAGTAAAGACCAAATTGGATGTCAGAAGAAAGTAAATATTTCACAGGAGTGCTGAGAAGCCAAAGCAGAAGGAAGAATTCAAGATACTATAGATCTGAATAGAAAATTTCAAAAGGCCACATGGGAAGATAAAGTAAAATATTAAAATGAAATGTGCAAGGAGCTGGAGTCAGAAAATCAAAAGGGTCAAACTTGCTCAGCAATTCTTAAGCCCAAGGAACTGAAAAACAAATTCAAACCTTGAGTTGGTATAATCAAGGATGCTTGAGGCAGAATATTAAATGATCCTGGAAGTATTAAAAGAAGATGGAAAGAATATGCTGAGTCACTGTATCGAAAGGAATTGGCAGACACAGAAGAATTTAATGAAACAACATATGAGCAAGAGCCTATGGTGATGAAGGAAGAATTTCAAGTTGCTTTGAAGAAAATAGCAAAAAATAAGGTCCCAGAAATAGATGGTATACCAACTGACATATTTCAGCTAACAGATGCTGCCCTGGATGTGCTCACCAAGTTGTGCCAAGAAATTTGGAGAACAACCACTTGGCCAACTGACTGGAAGAGGTCTATATTTGTTCCCATTCCAAAGAAGGGTGACCCACCAGAGTGTGGAAATTATAGAACAATATCATTGATTTCACATGCAAGCAAGATTCTGCTGAAAATTATCCAAAAACAACTGGAACAACTCATCAGCAGAGAACTGCCAGAAATCCAGGTTGGGTTTAGAAGGGGTCGTGTTACTAGGGATATTGTAGCTGATGTTAGATGGATCTTAGCTGAAAGCAGGGACCACGAGAGGAATATCTGTGTTACCTTGATTATGCAAAGGCATTTGACTGTGTGGATCATAACAAACTGTGCCTGACTCTGAGAAGAATGGGAATCCCAGAACACTTGATTGTGCAAAACCTACAGTTGGACCAAGAGGCAGTTGTCTGAACAGAGCAACGAAGCAGTGGATGGTTCAAAATTGGGAAGAGTGTAGTCCAGGGATGTGTCCTACCTCCATACCTTTTCTACCTATATGCAAAACAGATTATCCAGGAGTCTGGATTGGTGGAAGACCCACCAACAATCTGCATTATGCAGATGACACAACCCTGCTTGCTGAAACTGAGGAGGACCTGAAGCACTTGCTGCAGAGAGTCAAGGACTGCAGTCTTTAATATGGATTGAAGCTCAATACAAGAAGACAAAGATTTTCACCACAGGACCAAGTGGCAGCATCAGGATGGATGGTGAAGACATTGAGGTTGTTCACAGCTTTAGTTTGCTTGACTCCACAGTCAACACTCTTGGCACCAGCAGCCAGGAAATTAAAAGACATATTGCAATGGGAAAGTCTGCTGTTAGGGACCTCTCCAGGGTACTGAAGAGCAATGGTGTCACTGGAGACTAAGGTGTGCCTAATACAGGTCATGGTCTTTGCAATCACTTGTTATGTGCCAGAGAGTTGGACAATGACTAAGGAGGATAGAAGGAGAATTGATGCTTTTGAGCTGTGGTGCTGGAGAAGAGTATTGAATGTAACAAGGACTGCTAAGAAAACAAAGAGGTTCATCCTTGGAGGCAAGGATTCTGAGGCTTCATCTGACATACTTTGGACATGTTGCAAGAAGGGGCCAGTCCTTGGAGAAGAACATCATGCTTGGGAGGGTGGAAGGAGAATGCAGGAGGGGAAGACCCTCTATGAGTTGGACTGAATCAGTTATTGGGGTAATCAGGGTGTGGGTGTCAGAGAGAGTGAGATTGATACAGGATAGAGCAGGGTTTAGGGTTCTTGTACATAGAGCAGCTTGAAATCACATAACAACAACAGCAACAATCCTAAAACTGAAGTGGTTCCTCCATGGATACACAGATCTGCCTACTGCAGGGCCTCCCCTTACAGCAGGCCACTGTTAGGGTCAACACCCTCTGAAAGCTTGTTGTTGACTTGATACTTCTATTTAGGTCTATCAATGACAACGGAAAGTTGTAAGGAATGATAGGATGTGGATAATGACTATAGATCAAGCTGCTGATCCCCAGAAGATTTCAGAAGTTGGTCCTCTAGGAGTAAGATTTTCCTTAGGAAGTCCTTGCCTCTGGATCCCTCTGACTATTAAGAATCTTGGATTTTTTTTTTTTAAATCCGGATTTTGTTTTCTCAGGGCCTGTAGATATTGGTCTACTTGTTGCTTCCTATATCTCTGACTACTGCTCAAGAGGAGTTTCTTCTTCTCAGAGTTCTTGATTGTGAAGGCTGAGAAATTTTTCTCTAAAGAAATAGTGGCTTTAGAGCAAGTGGTCTCAATCTGAAATCTCAAGATCTCATGGTGTTTATAGATAATGGATTGTCTATGTTTGAAAGGAATAACAATATAATGTCTATTTGGTTCATAACCAAAAGAAGAGAACCTCTTTTAAGATAAATCTTTGTTTATCTAGTATGTACAGAATTTTAGGTTGGGCTAATTAGGGGCAATAAATGAAGATTTCAAAAGGAAAAATCTTAAGAGATACTAAATATTTTATAAGGAGGAGCATGGGAGCAAATAAGTAAAGGAAAAATAGCTTGGGAAAAAGCCATCAGCTAAAAAGTAATGAAAGTGTAGGAGAGACATCTTGCGGTTTCAGAAAAGTCAGAAAGACTAGAGAGAAAGTTACATCTATGCCTGTAAGAAGACCAAGGAAGGGGGAGAAGCCAGTGTAGCTAATTTTCAAGAGAGAAAAATTTTTCTTGGTTTCCTTATTTCCCTTTGCCTTCACTGGATTCATTCTTGAAGTTCTTTCACCTTGTCTGTGACTACTCTGGATTAGTGTACATAGTAACAGCATTCTTCTTCAGGAAGAGGTAGATTGCTCCTTTTTCAGCAGTTAATAACTTTAATGCTTGTTGGTGTCAGAGGGTAACTACTGCTAGGGATTTTACCTGATTTTATAGCATTCCCTTCCCCTGCTTCAGGATGTTTCTGTTTGCTTAGGGATCTTGGCCAAGAAAGACAGAATGATGAGCAAAGGAAGCCAGGAG